AGATCTGTATAACCATCTTCAATTAATTAAAGTAGATAATATTTTGGATGAATAAATTTGTGATTTTTGATCATTCACGTCAACATATCATGAAGATATTAATATTCCAATGTCGAATCAAAGATCAATTTTAAGCTATGCTATTTTTCTATATTGAATAATTTGAGACCATAATTTGAATCATTTTTTGATTGTTTATAATTAAATTTTCATCATGATGAATTTTCAACATAATTAATTATATTATAATTAATTATGCATAGTTACTTTATGAGAGGTGTGTGCTTGATAGATAAATCATAGATGTGTTTGACAACAGTGAGAGCTACAAAAAAATTGTGTGTTTGTAAGATGAGTATAGAATGTGTTAATTGATATCAACGAAAAAATAAATTATGTGTTTTTTAGTATTATGTGCCATATCATCAAATCACAAGAGTGGAATAGAGGCTAAATGTTAGATTATATCTCTTGTATGTATTAAAGATCTCTATATGAATGATAAAAACTAATTCAAATATATTTTGTCTTTGAAATTATGTTTCATATTTGACACAGATTATTTTATGAAATTCTATTTATACAATGTTATTCAAGCTAACTTACTTTTTTTGAAGATTACATTAACATCATGTAATAGCAAGAATGTGATGACATCATTTCATTTCTTAAGATTCTATTGTTAAACAAAGTACTTTGATGTACATGTAGAGACGATAGAAAAATGAACTTGAAGTTTTGTAGATATGAAGTCAATTGAAGAAAATCCAATATCACAATGTTAATTTTCACCATGTTTGATATTCAACATTGTTTTATGATTCATCATTATTTTTGCCAATACATTGTGGCATACTTGGATATTTTCATGCCTTGGTTCAACCTTAATACCAAAGTTGGAAAAGACTCAAATCATATTGACATCGTATAAACATATAAATGATAAATTTAAGAGATCGAAGATCAAGAAAGTTTTTTTTCTTCTATTGAAAAAATCATGTAAGGTGAACAAAAATATGCAAATTAGCAATGAAGATCTAAGAGAGTTGTATCATAAGAATGATAAAAATTTGTTTTATTTCCATGTTTTTTATTTTATAGCTTATTTTCCACAAGATCTTATTTTCTTGATAAATCATTTACATTATACACTACATGAAAATGAATGATTCATATCAAGATGTTTTAATTTTCTAGAATAAAATAAAAGAGTTACTTTTGCTATTTATTTTCTTCAAACATTTAGAATGAAGTTGTGAGACTTGAAAAAAAGAAATTTTATCAAAAATTACATTGAATAATTTTGTTATATTTAAATATGAAACAGAAGCATTCTATGTGTTAATACAATATTTTAAAGATTAAAGTAATAAAGTAATAAAAAACAATATAGCCACATTATATGAAGCAATATTAATAGCTGCATAAATTTCAAGTGCTTATAAAATTAAAAACATTGAATTATCAAGCAACATTAGAATATTAAATCTATCTTACATCAATATAGTCGGTAAATTCTTTTAATACTCAATGTTATGTGCAATCACAAAAATCAACACCAGGGAATATTTGGAGGAAATATTTGACAATTAATGTTCTCAAATTAGTAAAAAAAGTATGCAAATAATGAACCTTCTGATGTAAAACAATCATTTATGATAACTTTCAATATTATACATGCTGAGTACAATTTACATTGCCAAAAACTACTTAGCCCTACAAAGATAATAAGTAAAACATCAAATGCAACAATAGTTTGTCAACACTTTGAAGCATGTAGACTAAAAAGAAGCCAATGAAGTAGTTTTATGCACTTATGATAATTGATAAGCTTGTCTTGAGGTCTACATGTTTCACAAATTTAAAAAAAGTTTAGATAGATTGATACAATGGTTGAAGTTTCATGAACGTATAAAAAAAAAACATAATTGATTTGTAGTGTTTACATTGTGAAAAAACACAAAATGAGCTTTTTGATTAATTTGTAGCAACATAAAACTATATGTCTCAAAATGTTGCCATGATTTAACATTGTTAGAAAGAGTTATCGTGATGATGACATTCATATGATGAACAATTTGAAGTGTCAAATAGACAAAGTGAAGCAATAAAAACATTACCACAAAGTGTAGAATTATAAACACATAGATACAAGGAGAATAATGAGTGATTTGTTTAGCTAAATATTATGTCATACTAAAAATGTTATGGATGGAATAAAATAATATGAAGTTAGATTAGAGTATACAAGAAAATATGATTAGATATCAAAATATGAATTAATCCATGTGTGATGGTTAGAACATTCTAAACAAGTCATAATACATATCTTTATAGAGATGATGTATGTTTCATAAAATGTAGAAGAAATATTGTTGGATCATGAAACAACATTCATATTCTAATTTCTTTGAAAAAAAAAAATTACAAAATATAAAGATGTCTTTTTGGATGATATACTTGGAAATTATCATAAAAAATAAAAAGATGAAAGTAATATATTGAAGCATGTAAATTGAATAAGTTTCAAATCATTTAGCTCCAAATGAAATGATATTATCAAAGCTCAAACGGGTTAGATGTTGAGCAAATAATTTATTCAACAAAATATTGTATAACATGAAACTATATTGTTATTTTTGAAATAGAAAGATGAAAGCATTGATTATAGTAGATTGAATTAGCAAACAATGAAAAAAAATTCTATTGTCTTGTATTGATGATTTGTTTGATCAACTTTAAGAAATAATATTTTTTCACAAAATTGAATCTAAAAAATAATTAAAATCATATTCAGAATTGCAATTGCAAATGAAGATATTTACAAGATTTTATTTTTCTAGATATGTTCATTTTGATTATCTTGTGATGTTCTTTTGGCTCATTAATGTATGTGGTGTATTCATAATATAAACAAATTTTGTTGTACCTTTATAGTATGTGAATTCTAACCATCGAGTATCATCATACAGCAAAGTTTCAATAGGCATTATGGATCACAAAGATAGTTACATATGTTACAATAAGCCCTTATAAAAGCCCCAAGAATAACGGATCATTATAATTACTTTTGGTAGTGATTGTGTTACATGTAATTATGCAATGGAATAGCATAACTGTTGTACTATTTGCAACTTTTGTGAACATACTTTTAGATAGATTTATTGGCATGCGGAACATACTTGTCATTGTTACCAAACTCTCACCAAGTTTAGATATTGTTAGCTAGCTTTGCTTTCATAAAGATGGTACTGCATGATGTTGTAAGGAATTTAATGGTATTACAAGTTTTCATGTATGAAATATGTTTCATAAAATAGGTGATTAAATACTCAGAACCTCCAACAAGTCATGAATACCCATGCTTTTGTTGTACACGTCGAAAAGTAAATTTAGTATCCAAATTTGCGAGGTTGAATATGTTGTCTTATTGATCATGCTTTGTAAGAAGTAGGGCGTGGAGTGCTTTGACGGGGTAGCAAGTGACAAAAATCTATTTCTTGAAAGATGTATTGTATGTGCTTGCACACTCTTTACCCCGAATTTTGAAAAGACCTCAAGTCAAATGTGGATAAAAGCATATGCTTAATGGCAATTGGGTAGTAATGGGTACATGATATGTTTGGAGCAAATCTCATACTTTCTATATCTCATGTAGAATCTGCATCGCCGTTAAATGAAATTTTCAAATAGCATTTGAGGTACTATGAAATTTCTATGTTGTTGAGAATATCCGCCTTTACTTATCTCAATAAGTAAAGGCGGAATTCAAACTCTTATCTCAATAAGAGTTTGTATTTCATGTGAACTTCATACCATTGAAGCATTTGGTTTAGAAGTCGGACTCCTGAGGCCAGTTAGGTCCGAGTATGTAACAATATAGGTGAATTCGATGCATGTCCTACACATGGAAATTTCCGATATAGTCGCACTAGATGTATATCCAAGACGGAAGATAAGTATGCTTGCAAGCACATATTGAGTGTAAAATTTAGAAAGAGCGTGTACATTTTAAGGTCATATGGAGCCAAGTTGAAATATGCCACTTGACGGAAGTCAATTTCACTGGGGCCATACGTTTCTACAATTGACTTCAAAGCTTTCCACTTCAGCCCTACTCCACCTGCTTGGCATCGAGGAAAAGCTACTGCAACGGACTTTTAACAAAAGGACGATGCAGCACTGCCCAGCCAACCATGCTAACTCGTTGGTGCTCGCCACGTGTCGTGCCAGTGCACTTTATCTACATGTTGACGGGAGGACACCAACCAATGAGGAGGTCGGGAGAGGGTGACGTTAGCACCGCCATCGACAGCGTGTGCGAACTCCTTCACCGTCTGGAACCGCCGAAGCTGAGGTTCGAGCCCAAGCCGTGGCGCTCTCCGGGGCTAGCTGGAATAAGACAACAGGGGATAAGGGAGAGGCCTTGAAGGATAAGTGGTGGTGTATCACACTGCTGATTTGCTGCGAGGTCCGGGCGGCCTACGGGATGGTGGAAAGTCCCCACGGCTACAAAAGAACTTTGGAATCAGGTGCGCCGGGGCCCACCACGGGAATATCGCGGAACAATTGAGAAGCAAGGAAGAAGTGCCCATTTGTCTTCGAGGGAACGAGAGGGCGGAAAATATCGGCCGAGATGCGGTCGCATAAGCAAGCCTTTTGGGCGCTTTCCGGCGGGCGGAGGTCGTGCACAATTTGTGTCCCTTGGGGCAGAAAAGATAAGGGTCCAAGAGAAGGCTCCGAAGGGAACACGTTGGCGGACCTCATACGTGTCGGTGAACTCGGTAGCGTGGAGCCTCGGACTGGCCGAGGCGGCGACCGCCTGCAGAAGGTGGAAAGCCTGCCGGAGCTGCACGGGAGCTACGGGTTCATCCGACGGCTCTCTCTCTGCTCGTTGCTGCGAGGATTCGGTGATCGACGGTTGGCATACGGAGGTTCGGCGCTCCGTTGTGACGTCTGGAAGCAAGGGGAAAGATCGCCGCTGGCTGTGGCTCTGTGGCTGGGCTGGGCTGGGCTTGCTTGCTCATCCATCCATGTCCTGCCCTCCCACCTCCCCTTGAGAAAGGCAGAATTCAGCGTGGTGGGGATTTCGATTTTCCACGGACTTCTCCACAGCGTCTGTAGGAGGAGGAGGAGGAAGGAGGACCAGAAGGAGCACCAGGAGGCCCAGAGTGTGATATTGTGTGCAAGGAAGCGTCAGGCAGTGGGAAGGTACAGCTTGCTCCTGCTCGAGTCGGGCCGACCGATACTTCGTTGATAGGTCACTTCGTTTCTCCAGCACTGTTTGTAAGCTTGCGGAGTCTTAAGGGTTCTAGGAAGATTTCTGCACATGGTTCTTGCTTGTCTGACGTAAGAGAAGTAGGGTGGGGTGAGTTGAAACGACTTGTGTGTGCTGGGGTAGCTGAGTTTTTGTTGTATGGCGAAGCTGTGTCGCAGTGATTGTTGATGGTGAATTCGTAAGGCTGTCGATTTCGTTTGCCCTAGTATTTGGATTTGGTCGTGAGAAGTGTTCTGTGCAAGTGCGCTCTCGTTTGAGTGAGCGGTCTCGTGTCCTGACATGCGTAAGTGTTTTGCACCGTGTTTCGGCTTGGGTTTTGTAGATCTGAAGTTTGATTACGGGATTGGTGTAGCTTGTTAAAAATGGCGGGGACACTTGCGCAGTCCTCTATACTGCCCTTGAAGGTAGTAGGGCTGGATAATGGACAACTACGGGGCTGCCGCAAGGCAAGAAGAGCTAGGGTGACATCCGCAGGAATGGTTGGGTTGAACCTTAGGTCAACTTCTGGTACATCATGCTCTGCATCCGGCAGGAGGTTGCAATCCTTCACAGGAATGAGGCGTGCCACTGCTGTGGATTCTCTGGCCGTCAAGTCCGGACGAGACTTCCACTCTGTTCTAGACGCAGCATTATCGGTCCCCGGAGGAGTAGCTTCGCGCGGAGTTGTAGTCGCCATGTTCGAGCGGTTTACTGAGAAAGCTATTAAGGTTATCATGCTTGCACAGGAAGAGGCCCGGCGACTTGGTCACAACTTTGTCGGAACTGAACAAATATTGTTGGGACTTATCGGTGAGGGTACCGGCATAGCTGCAAAGGTTTTGAAGTCTATGGGCGTCAACCTGAAGGAAGCTCGTGTTGAAGTTGAGAAGATTATTGGTCGTGGTAGTGGGTTTGTAGCCGTGGAAATTCCTTTCACACCCCGTGCCAAGCGGGTTCTCGAACTATCTCTCGAAGAGGCCAGACAACTCGGTGAGTGCTACCTTGTATATCCTTGTCGTTTGTATGATGGGGTTTATGAAGAGCATGTGGCTTTGAATTCCGAGACAGCTTTATCTACCAATGATATGGAAATACTTTTACAAGTAAGTTGTACACGCTGATCCTTAGTTTGATACCTAATGTAGACCTCTTTACACAGTTTGCCCACATCTTCGTCGGTAGTATCGTTGTATCTTTGTCAAGTCTGGTGCTACAGTGTAGTTGCTTGCTCCTTTTTCCGACTCAGTAGATCTACACAAAATTGTGCACTGAGTTGTTTTGTCGAGTTGTCATTTTTTCATTTGAAATAACATGTAGCTTTACGTTCTGTGTTTCTTCAGGCCACAACTATATCGGAACCGAGCACTTGCTACTTGGTCTTCTTCGGGAAGGAGAGGGTGTTGCCGCCCGCGTACTTGAGAATTTAGGCGCTGACCCCAGCAACATCCGCACTCAGGTACTGTATAACCCGAATCTGTCGAACGTAAGACAGTCGAGAGTTTTTTACTAAAGGTGAAGCGCACGCCCATGTTTCGATTTGAGTAAGCTGAATGTCCCTGCCTCTTTCTGCAGGTAATCCGTATGGTCGGTGAAAGTACGGAATCAGTTGGTGCTGGAGTCGGAGGTGGCAGCAGCAGTAACAAAATGCCTACCTTGGAGGAGTATGGAACAAACCTGACCAAGCTTGCTGAGGATGTAAGTGTACACTCGGCGGTTTGCGAAGTATATTTCACATTGTACATGACATGCTCCTTATGAATTTTTTGTGTTGCATTAGTCATTCTGACACTTTTGGATGTGGACAGGGCAAACTCGACCCTGTCGTGGGTAGACAAGCACAAATTGAACGTGTCACTCAGATTTTAGGACGAAGGACGAAGAACAACCCATGTCTTATTGGGGAGCCCGGTGTTGGAAAAACTGCCATTGCTGAGGGTCTTGCCCAGCGTATCGCCGCGGGTGATGTCCCCGAAACCATTGAAGGAAAGAAGGTACTGATTGCTATTTTTTGAATCCTGCCGGTCGCTCACCCGTTTTCCTGTAAGTTCTGGATCGAATTTATCATTGAACTTTATTTCATGCTTGCCTCCTCGCTGGTTTTCAGGTCATCACTCTCGACATGGGTCTACTTGTCGCTGGGACGAAGTACAGAGGTGAGTTCGAGGAGAGGTTGAAAAAGTTGATGGAAGAAATCAAGCAAGCCGATGACATCATTCTCGTCATTGACGAAGTCCACACCCTTATTGGAGCGGGAGCCGCGGAGGGTGCTATTGATGCAGCGAATATATTGAAACCAGCTCTTGCTAGGGGTGAACTTCAGGTAAATTTTGAGCTTATCTGGTAGTTGCGCTGCGTATGTGTTAGACATCTTACAATCAACGCATCACATTAGCGGCAGTTCGGGAATTGTCTGGACCCGAGTCTGAGTTTCCATTAATTAATTATTCTCATAGTTTGTTCCTCTTCTCATCCTCGGGAATTGTCTGGAACCCGAGTCTGAGTTTCCATTAATTAATTATTCTCATAGTTTGTTCCTCTTCTCATCCCCGTATCATTGTTGGAATCTTTCAGTGTATCGGTGCTACCACACTTGACGAGTACCGCAAGCACATCGAGAAGGACCCGGCGCTTGAGCGTCGTTTCCAGCCCGTCCAGGTACCAGAACCCACCGTGGACGAGACCATCCTTATCCTGAAAGGTCTACGCGAACGATACGAAATCCATCACAAGCTCAGATACACCGACGAGTCTTTGGTTGCAGCTGCCCAGCTGTCCTACCAGTACATCAGGTATTTCTGAGTTCTGTTGGCGAACTATTATACTGTTATCTTTATTTGTACTGACGGAGACGTTTGCTCTCTTGATCTTTTGGAGATGAGCTTCTCACGTTTTCAAATTGTTTTGGTAATATCAGTGACCGATTCTTGCCTGACAAGGCCATCGACTTGATCGACGAGGCAGGGTCGAGAGTTCGTCTGAGACACGCCCAGGTACATTGCAATTCATGGCTTTGCGACTTATCTGTCTTTTGAAATTTCGTCGTTTGCTTTGAACCTTTTGCAATAACTGTCCTTGGTGGCTGTAATTCTGGTCCTTCCGCCATGGTTACCCGCCGCATAGTTAAGGAGGGATAATTATATTCATTTAAGTTTGTGCGTCTCTCATTTGTTATCAATCGTTTCTTCTGCAGCTGCCTGAGGAGGCTAGGGAGTTGGATAAGGAGCTTAGAACAATCACCAAGGAGAAGAACGAAGCTGTTCGTGGCCAGGACTTTGAGAAGGTAACCCTTCATTTAGTTTTTACTTTGTTGCTGCGGAAATCGTGCGACGTGAAGCCGCTAGTGATTCTTTGAACACGTGCACGGAAAGCATTTTCTTTCGTTTCTGAATTGTGGCATCGCTCCCGTCACAGGCTGGAGAACTTCGTGACAGAGAAATGGAACTCAAAGCGCAGATTGCCGCTATCACGGAGAAGGGCAAGGAGAAGTCGAAAGCCGAAAGCGAGGCCAACGAGCAAGGCCCCATGGTTACTGAAGCAGATATTCAACAGATTGTCTCAGCATGGACTGGTATTCCTGTTGAGAAGGTATCAACTGACGAATCTGACCGGTTGCTGAAGATGGAAGAAACTCTCCACCAGCGTGTCATTGGACAGGACGAAGCAGTGAAGGCCATCAGTCGCGCTATTCGTCGAGCCAGAGTTGGTCTGAAGAACCCGAACAGGCCAATAGCCAGCTTCATCTTTTCCGGACCTACTGGTGTCGGTAAATCAGAGCTAGCTAAGGCTTTGGCCTCGTACTACTTCGGTTCAGAAGAGGCTATGGTTAGGTTGGATATGTCTGAGTTCATGGAGCGACACACTGTTTCTAAGCTCATCGGATCACCCCCAGGTTACGTCGGGTACAGCGAGGGTGGTCAACTCACTGAAGCTGTGCGCAGGAGGCCATACACTGTTGTTCTCTTCGATGAGATTGAGAAAGCTCACCCAGATGTTTTCAATATGATGCTTCAGATTTTGGAGGATGGTAGACTGACAGATAGTAAGGGTCGCACTGTTGACTTCAAGAATACTCTTTTGATTATGACCTCTAACGTTGGAAGTAGCGTGATCGAGAAGGGAGGTGGTGGCATTGGTTTCCAGCTTGACTACGGCGAGAAGGATAGCAGTTACAACAGAATCAAGAGTCTGGTCAACGAAGAGTTGAAGCAGTACTTCCGACCCGAGTTTTTGAACAGGCTGGATGAAATTATCGTCTTCAGGCAACTCACCAAGTCTGAAGTGAAAGAAATTGCGGACATTATGTTGAGGGAGGTGTTTGAGCGGTTAAAGAAGAAGGAGATTGATCTCCAGGTAACGGAAAGGTTTAGGGACCGAGTTGTCGACGAGGGTTACAGTCCCAGCTATGGTGCCAGGCCCTTAAGGAGAGCTATCATGCGGTTGTTGGAAGACAGTATGGCCGAACGAATGCTTGCGGGAGAGATCAAGGAGGGAGACTCTGCTATTATTGACGTCGACTCAGAGGGTGGAATTACTGTATTGAACGGAACCACTGGTACAGCTTCTAGTTCAGCCATTGAGACCACACCCGCTGGCATTTCTTAGATAGAATTAATATGTGGTCAGTTTTTGGCCTTGTGAGTTATAATTGCCACCAACGTGTGGCCAGAAAAGTCAGGAAAACATCCACACTTTTGGTGTGTAACAAAATTATCATCTTTTACACTGCCGCTAGAAGCCTACCATGAACAGTGAGAATGGAGGAAGCAGCAAGTATAGTGAGATGATGTTGTATTATGGCCTTGATCCTCCCATGACTGATTCAAAGAAATTGGTGCCCCTATGTGATTACGGCGGATGATGGTTATCACCAATCCAACCCAGACAAGAATACCTGAATCAAATGCGCTGTGTTTGTACAGCAGCCCCAACTTCCCATAATATAAGACAGTTGTCCTTACATTTCTGGAGTTCATTTTTATTAAGGTGAATGTACTGAATGGTTTCAAAATTACTTTCATTTGCGTTAAGTCACTATTAGTCTTGTCGTGAAAGTTTGTGGAATGTGGAGGTTTTTGTCGTAAGCGACGTCACACCAAGCATCGTGAATATTAACTGATCGCTTTTACTGTTACAAGTGAATATTAATGATCCGAAAATAATGGCAAAGTAAGTGTAAATATAGGTCTTGTTATTACAGCTGGTGTACTGATACAGGTTTTGTCGGGTAGGGTTTCTTTTGAAAAGCTGTTGGAGTTTCCTCTCTCACGAAAGAAAGTATCGCGGTGTTTGATGCCGGCCGGTTAAAACGGAACAGTGTGGTCTTATCAAGGCTGCCAGCACCCGACCTGTGAAGGACTTGTGTTGACTGTGTGATGTGTCGATGACCTCTTGGGAAGAAATACCAAGGGAGAATGAAATGTCCTTCAACGAATGAACATGGAATGTGGCAGAAAGGTGCAGCATTCATTGATGCATTAGCAGAGTGTTGAACCTTACGTTGATACAGTAGACGCATGAGAAGATTACCTTCTGCACTCAAGTAAGTTGCCGCTCTGTCTAAAACAGAACTATCAAAGTACTGTTCATGGACTGCCAAAGTTGTGCATTCACAGGGAACAGATTTCTATTTTGTCATGGACGAGATTCGTATCTATGATCGACAGACGTTGGCGTGAAATTTTATCCAGGACGATTAGTAAAACTTGTATAGGTCTTGGAATCCGGTGTTACAGCTGACATCCAACTGAAAATGGAGTAGAGAATCTCAAATCTTTTCCGTTAATTTCATGTTTACTGAACGAAACTTGTAAGGCTCTCCTGTGGCTGAGACCTATAAAAACTTAAATGTAAGACTAGATTGGCTATATGTGAACTCTGGGTACATCTTTTATGGTTGTCACTCTTTTGAAGGGAGCATTCTGTTCACAACCAAAAATGTCGTTTATTGGCTCAACTGTTTTTCATATTCGGCCCCTATGATTTTACCTGTGCGAACGGTCTCAGCTTGCAGTCTACGATTATTATGTCACAATGCGCCAAGTGAGTTAGTATCGCACTAAAAGACATGCAAAGGATTTCAATTGTAATAATGCACATTACGATCATGAAGTAGCTAGACATGTGTTTTCTAATAAATCTACTACTCTGACTATCGCAGATTGCAGTCACTATTCGTGCTTATATTGTCATACCCTGATATATGTATACATACATTTCTTTATATTAATATAGCAAATGGTAAACATATCCCGCCTACTCTAATCATTACTATAGCTGTTCAGAAGGTTTAGTAGTTTCACCATACAACCTTTTTCACGGAATAAGATTAGCTTTGTATCTAATTGTTGAGTCTGTTATTACATTCAGCCGGAGTTTCAGGTGGCAGGTTTTATCGATGGATATATACCATTACGTGTGATACAAGATGGATACAAGAAATATTTTGTTGGAGTACAAGATGTTATTTATTGTTAATTGAATTGAGTGAAGAACAAAATGTTTTACAAAGCTTTCGAATCTATGCAAATCATCTGTATATCTCTAGATATATGTCAGAAACCAGTCGATTTGAGGTAAGAATAGTCTAACTTTTTTTAATGATTTTTTGACACACAGTTGGAAGAGTAATCTTATACAGTCGATGATATGACTGAAGAAGTCTAAGATATAATTTATTTACGCAGTTTGTGACATCTAAAGTAGATGTTTTGTATGCTTCCGACTAACTCATTATGAACTTAACTTTTTTAATTTAATTATTTTTTCACTACAATGTTTCAACATAAAATTTGATTCTAAAATCTTTAGAATGATCTCAAATCAAATATGCATTCTTCAACCTCTTTATCTTTTTGAAGCTTTTTTCTTGCACATAAAGATAACAACATACACAGCTCTAATGTCATTTATCAACTATGTTGTGTTCTCATTATGTATATATATATTTCAGATCAAACCAAATCCACTTTGAACTTCCAATAATTATTAATATAGTCTAGTTTTTTTATTTTTCAAAATTACATCCACATACCCCATCTAGCCCCTACATCTCATATTGGTTGTATTGGAGCTAACTATATGTAACTGTTATGTCTGCTCTACACTTGAACCCTAAGCTAATTATGATTGGTCATTGTTAAAAAAATCGTTGTACGAAAATACTACAAAATTATTACATTTCATACAAAGATATTGTATGAAAGAAACTTTCATAAATTAACTTCGTGCAGTGTTTTATCGTTCGATCATGATGTTTCTCATAACATCCGGTTAACTAGATGCTTATATTCAGAGCATATGGAACAATTAGAGTTCATTCTGCGATGAGTGTCATTCGCACAAGAACGAACATTAACTTTGACAATCATAATGGAAGACCGAGGGTTAATGTGATAAGGTGAAGATTATGGCCTTGTTGAGCTCATGTTTTGATTTTGAAAATGCAAATAATAATATAGTGGAGAAGACACAAATAACAAGGAAGATCGTCAGGCTGATACTTGTATAAAAAAAGTACATCTGATATGATTTTTATTGAATGTCAAGTTAATTAGATATCATTTTCATGAATGCATTGATATAACTCATTACAAAGTATTGAGGGAAGGTAAAAAAGAAACAAGGAAGATTAGAGAGAATTTTTCAACTTAGAAGTTGATTCTACGTTGTGAGTTGATACACTTCATAAATTACTCGCTGAAACATAACACTATCTTAGTTTTATCATATGGAGTAGATTTTAGTCTTTATTGTAAAAAAAATCTTCAAGTTACAAAGCAGCAAAAAGGTACAAGGAGTGAAAACAGATATGAAGATATCATCTAGAGTGGGAGTAAATACCTTGAAGTAAAGGAGAGATTGATAAGTCATTCAAGTATTGGAAGTTTTGGAGTGAAAGACTTTGACAATATCACTTATTGTAATCGAATGACATCCAATCATTTGGACAATAAAATGTTCTTGAAAGCTTCAACTAAATCCTGCATACAAGAAAATCCATTCAACCTTTGAGATGATCATCTCGATTCAAGAAAAGGCTTTTATCTTTGATATTCTAATAGTCGCTGTTCATGATAATGAAATCAATGCTAGCAGAATATGCTCTAATCTACACAAACTTTAAATTTTCATCTATGCACTCATTATGTTCTCGTTACTTGCCTTTTGACCCTCTGGGTCTCCCGGGCTTGATCTATTACCATTTAGCAATATATGTACTTCTAGTCTGTAGAAAGGATTTAATTTGCTATACGGTGGCACAATTACAAGATCTGCTCCCAATATTAGTAGGACCACTACGGTCCCTAGAGAGATGAGGTCTCCTACTCTTAGAGACTTGTACTTCCTTGAAATAATTTTTACTACTGAAATTATTTAGTTGCACGAAAGCATTCCTGTTGCACTCCTAGCATGGATCCCAGCTTTTGGAAAATTTGGTTACCTAGTTTTCTCTTAATCAATACATTAAGTTTTAAATGTCTAATTTTCATGAAATATTGAAGTTAATGTAGCAAGTCTTGTTCGCAACGAAGCATTTTCAAATGTACAATTTTTTTTTTATTATCTAGTTTCAATTTCACATCAGGTTATTTAAGCGTAAAAATTAAAGACAAATAATCTATTGAGTTTTCCAATTTTGTAATTTTCTTTCGATATTTTGACAACCCTATCTTTTATTTTTTAGCACATAATTTTGAAAAAAGATAAAGTATTTTAAAGACTGTGGTAAATGCACAGCTCTAAAACTGTTGGAATCTAAAATAGAAGAGTTTTCCATTCTCACAACAAATTTAGAATCATCTTTCTCTTTTCAGTAATCGTTTTCTCCATCCGGAGAAAACCTTAATCGCCATCACTTCCCCAAATGATTAGAATATCATGGTTTACTGAACAACCGTGAGTTTGACGCATAGGTTCGTACTCCCTTCGGGAGCATCTGAATGGTGGGTCCGGACCTTGGACTCCGGCGAAAGGAAACGGGGCTGCTCAGTCATTGCTCGAAGTCTCCGGCTCTAGAGGAGAAGAATATGCAATGACTAATGTACACCATCGAAGAATCCGCGCCATCTGTCAGCTACACAGCGACGGCGCATGACAAGGTAGACTGACAGCTCCACGGCGGCTCGTACAACATCTAAACCGGCTGAGTTTCGGTTCTTGACTATTATCCGGCATTTTCCCGGATAGCTTCGTATGCACGAGTCCCGCGACGACGCAGGCATCCCACTCGGTAATCGAAGAGCTCTTCGAAGGATATGCCAAATCGAGGGCTCTGCCAGACCGAGTCCCCTCGACTCGTCTCGCGACGAGCAGTGGCACGAGATCCGTCCGGTCGGTTCCGCGCAGTCGCCGACCTCGTCCGTCAGGTGTACAGACGAATCCGGTTCGTCTGACTCCTGCCGAAATCCCGGAATGCGTCACCGGGATTCATTGCGGTTAAGGACAAGGTACGTGAAGTGTAGAGCTTGACTGTTGGTTGGAGCTGCCAGAGCGCGAGCCGAGCTTCCTTCGGTCCGATGCCATCCGACAATAAGTGACGATGGGTTATGGATGGATGTACGGCATGTTATGGCCCGAGACGCTAATGCGGCCCTTTTGTCGCAGTGTCGAAAACCCGGCCTCTGCTTGAGAGCTCTGTTACTCCGAACTCTGCTTCGTTGGACACACTGCCCCACGAACTCTCAGTTCCAGCGCGGAGTGGAATTGCTCCGCTGCTTCTGAACGTCACGTTGTCGCCTCGATATCTTTCTTTGAGCTCGATTTGCGATGAAGCTATTCATCGAAATCGAAATCAGCCCCGACGAAATCCCCTTAGCGAATGAGTTGTTCCGGACTTTGAGGTCAGCTCGTAGCTCTGAGTTCGTGCGACTGGATGAAATTTGCAATTGTGCTGTAATATCATCTCTTTTACTCCGTTATTACGACACGATAACGATAACGACACGATAACGATACGATAACGTGCTTTATTATTATTCTTGAACGATATTATAATTTTATGAATTCTGTTTCTCTCTCGTAGCGCTAGGTCTTTAAGAGGTCAGCCAAAACCTCTATTGCTCCTAGAAGAATTTATAATGTTGTCGAACATTGTCGAGAACTGGCGAAGATTACCACTTCGTCTATTACTGAGTTTTTACTCCAAATCCAGTTTCTCGTGGATTGCATGTTTCAGTTATTTAGATGTTAGCGATAGTTTTGTTCTTTGGATTTGTAGGACTCTCCCGTGAACAGGCTTGTGAATTTTTTTCCTCCATATAGGAAGTATTTTGTAATTCTACTATTTTCAAGAACTTCTGCACCTAGATTACGTTGATTTTGGAAATCTCCAGATTTTGATTTACGGTGGAGTTTCTTTGTTTTATTCCGTAAATTCAGAAGTTTTAGGTTTTTAGAATTCTCTCTTTTGGATAGATTTCTTATGGTTGAGGCAATGTGTGTCGTTTCTGCAAGCAGATCCCTGACAGAACATGTCCGGACGCGAGATTTACCAAAGCTCTTCCGAATACTAATAGCGCGGCTGGAAGATGGCAATCATTTGGACCAAGTCGCTGCTGAAATCACCACACTATTATCGGAGAACGGCTGGTCTGAGACTGTAAGTTTCACGTCGTGCTTTTTTTTTACATATCTGCAATAAAAAAGATCCTTGAGTAAGTTTCTAACCAAATTTTGTGCTTCACCATGCACAGATTTATGATGATCTCTTTGGAGCTTTCACGTCTGTAGTATTCAATCAGGAACTTGTTGTGCGACAACAGAGTGTTGTGCCCTTTATGCTTCTTCTACCAAGGTAAATATCGGGTCTCGAAAAAGGTGTGTCCAAGTCTTTGACCCCAACAGCTCATTTGTGCTCTAAATTGCTGTTAGCTAATCTAGCACAACTGATTCCTTCACCGACAATGACTCATCGAGAAAACAATCTATTTCTTCTACCTTATGAAGTATGACGAGTTCGAGCAGGGAGCATATTGATTCTGCTTTGTTGTTCGCCGTAAATGGAGACATCATCAAGTCGGATGAAAGACAGGAAGTCATAACGACAATGTCTACGAAGGACGTGTAGGAAGATCTATCGTATATTGCAACGTATTTGCGGAAAAGGGCCTAGGGGTTCTACCTAGCGACCACATAATTCTAGGTTGATTTTCCGTATTCTTTTTGTTTGGGAACGAGTGTGTATTCCCCGCAGTTTCTCCAACTTATATTTCTTCGCCTCCCTAAGTCCTGATTGTTCACTTCTGCTGAAGTCACCATGGATTCTACAGAGCTTTGACGGTTAATTTTATTGTTTTATCCTCGAACCTTGATGGTTCAAGGTTTTACTGTCTCATGTGGGATATGTTTTGTCCATGTGTAGAGGTTTGTTCTAAGGTTGCTTGTAACACACATGTACTCTAGTTGGTTTGCTTCATGATTATCGGCCTGCGTATATCTTTTATTCAGAATAAAAGATGTAAGGGGAACGGTATCAACGATTGGATGTCTTGTCAGACTTTCAGGGTTGCAAGTATTCTCTTTGATGTTCATCTACATACTCAGTGCAATTCACATGTACTCTAGTTGGTTTGCTTCATAAATATTGGCCTTCGTGTATCAGTTTATTCAGAATTAAAGAGGAAGGGTATCAACGACTGGATGTCTTGTTTGTCAGATTTTCAGGGTTGCAAGTCTTCTCTTTGATGTTTATATACATATTCAGTGCAACTTGTGCATCATCGGTAGGCAGAGCTCTTGGGAACCAAATTTTTTTTCAGGAATTCAGTTTCTTTATTCTATTCCTTTGCTTGACATTCGTTCGGTTGAAGTAATCTTGAGTATCACTTATTTTAGCTTTCTATTTACGTGAATTATTCCCATGAATTACGTGAGGTTTTGAAAAGAGATTCGCCACGCAGTAAAGTTACTATCCGGCATAAAAGAAAAGGTTCAATTTTGGGAAACAATGTTAAGTGAATGTATTCAAAAAACTTTTATTTCGTTCGTCGATGTTAAAGATGAATGCGGAGGCTGCGATTTGTCTGAGAAAGGATTTATCACCTGAGTTATGTTTATACTGTAATCTCATCTGGGTCGTGTATTTTGTATTTTGTATTGCAGGCTACCAGAACCTGCCCAGACTAAAGTACGGGATGCACTTCTACCTAAGGTATTCAAGATTCCTCTAAGTTATATAACAATAATCATGGAAATGCCTGATTGAGCTTGGCAAACTTTCGCTTCATATATAATCTTCGTTATGTCATAAACCACAGAACACCGCTGCAGATGGGAGATGGAGATCCCCCATCATACTGTATTAAGAAGGGTCAATCACCAGAACCACAACCACATCCTGCAGGCAATCGTAAAGAGCGGTCACTAGACCAGAAGAGAACATAATAGTGTAGGATTTTGGGCTTATGTGGCTAACTATACCCACTAAGGCCATGCAATGTGATTTTGAATGAGATGGTAATATTTTGTTAAAGTCACCATTTATATATTGGTGCCTGATGTACAGGTGTTGAAGCATCTAACGGTGAAGAGGCCTGTAGAGGCTAGTCGCATGGATTTCTTCAATCATGCGGAAGCTTTTGCGGCATTAGTGAATTTAGAGTTTGTATCGACTAGTGGTGAGTACTACATCATTAAATTGCATGGTATGGTCTATGTTGCAGTCAAGGCTAGCACTTAATGTCATCTTCATTGGACTAAATTGCAGGGGCTATCACAACTATCATTGCTCTTTTGCGCAAACCAGAAAATCGGTGTGCTGCAGTTACTATGCTGGGGAAGACAGTGGAATTATGTCTTCCACAGGTTTCATACTTACCTTGTTGAATTTCTTGAAGGTTATTGGCACAACTGAAGGTTGTTATGATCATTAGCTATTTGATTTTGCTGAAGGTATCAGTTTTGAAAAAAGTTGACCTTTTACAATTTATTATTGCAGCTGACGGAGAAATGTGATCCAAATGCGCTTGCTGAACTAAACGCTGCCTTACAAAATGTGACAGAAGATGCATTTAAGTAAGTTACAATACGTTTCTGCCTGGAGGTTAAGAAAATATCCAACTAAGATTGCGAAGCTGCCGTTATCATTTGCTGTTTTTGACTATTGTGAAATTGATCTGCCTAATCTTGAATGAAGGAATTTTTTCTGGATAATCCTGTTTCCCATTGTGAAACATCTTCTCGCATTTATTCTCGTGTTCCACTTCTTGTGAATACCGGTATTCCTGCTTCAGGTGTGGTGTTTTTTTGGTTATGCAAAGCTGCTTTCAAGACCTATGACAGGCAAGTGCCCAATTTTCATTTGAAGCTTCAACTAACTGTCCCACACTGCCAGGTATGATATAAATTACATTGAGGACAGTATGGGTTGGAGTCGGCCGCAACCACCAGTATCTCTAGATTCCACCAGAGTTTCTTCATTACAGTCTTCAGTTGAACCTAAGAAGGGCCTTGTGGATGGACCAACAGGTACTTGTTGCAAGTGGACAAAACTTTGATGAGGTCATGGATACGCTGTTTTGCATTAAGGCTTGCAGCTGTAGAGGACGATATATTTGTCAATATAGTGGTCAAATTACTTGACTAAGTCTCTCTTCTTGATGAGTCATTGATACATGAATTCCTTTGCGGGGAATTTGTGAGCTAGTTCTATCTCAAATTCATTGAAAGTTATACCGAAGTATGTTACAGTTGTTTTCATCTCGTATGCTTTGAAACTTGTAATTCAAATTGTCAAAGCCTCGGCATTAAGTATGTTTCACAAGGTATGAAACTTTTTCTGCAGGACTTTATGCTGTAGAGTCGTTTCTTGGTCATCGACAAACTGTTTTTGCCATGGCTTTTGGTGAGTTCAACTTCTGCACCTTCTCCTGATCTGCGTGCAATGTCTGTAGTTGATAATTTCATGATCACTGGGTGAATGGCTCGGGTATCGGTGGCTGACTACATGAAGTCCATTCGCTCACATGAATAAAGTAGTACAGATGTGGACCTATACTTGGTCTGGTTAACAGCGATTGAACAAAGACACAAAGCTTCATATTACATCAAATTAGCAAAACGTCACCTTTTTTTCTCATAAAGCAAAACCAAAACCAAAAGATTGTGGTTCTTACATGCAAAATTAATAATCATAAAAGCAATTTTTTGTTACAATTGTCAGATAGATTTTACCAGATTTTAGGTGTTTTGTTCACTAGAAATTCCAGAAAACCCACACCAGTGAGAATGGCTTAGTTTCCGAAGCGAGAGCTCAAGTAAGGAGTTTGGAGGAAAATAACTTTATGTAGTGGAGATGTGACTGGAATCAGATTTAACCTGCGGATACCCCCTCGTCGAAGAAAATTTGAATGTCCCGAAGCAAGACGTTGTTTAGTGGCCTGCAGGACTACACTACTGTCTAAGGGACACCAAATATAGGGCGCATCACATTAAGTAGAACGAAATGCTCTTCCAAAGCAAGTACGAGGGTATTTCCAGTTGTAGTTCTGTTTAACCAGGTCTATGTGTCTATGATGCGTCTCGTGATCAGTTTCTTGGTGCGGGTTTCCTCTGTGCATTTACAGATGATAAACGAAATCAATTGATTAGTGGAGGAAAAGATGGAACTCTTATCGCATGGACAACTGATGGACAGGTAGTATTGTTTATGTTCCTCTCGACGGGTTTCAAGTACGTCTTATGGTTCTACTTATGCGTTTGATGTACATAAATTTACGTTTTTTTGTGTTATTATAAACTAGTGAGTTAAATCCTTCTAGAGGATCTTCTAAAAGGATTAAGTATTTCTTTCTATTAATGCAAGTTTATATTCGTCATCGTTGATGCCTTTGCAGATATCAGAGACCGTGGAAATGGCTCGTCATTATGCTTGTTCTATGGATATCCACCCTTCTTTACAAACACTTCTCGTTTGTGGAGTCGCGAAGGTGATAACTGTCTTTAAGAAGAGTTCTCTTACCTCTCTTGCTGTTTTGAATTTCTCTGCTCTGCAACAACTGTTTAAGTCCTTTCGATCTTTCCTTGGTTCATCTGTAAGTTCGTGTAATATCGCAGGAGGAAGCTTCAGGTCCAGCCGGATCTCGATTACTACCGCCTCCCTGTATAGTTAGTTATGGCTCAAATGGTCGTGGTTGGAAAGAGCAAGGTTTACTATCCAAGGAAACCTCAAAATTGGTATCTTGCATAAAGGTGAGTACGGTACTTACAATCTGTTTTTTGGTAGAGCAAAGATGTGGGAAGATTAACTGCCGGTGTCAAGATATAGTCCTCGTTAGTCTCTTCTCAAATACACATTGCATTTAGGTTTTCTTAATCTTTTACTTGTGTAGAGCTTCATTCAGCCCGGTGCTCTACATAGCCTTATAGGTTCAGTCCTGGATCAGGGGAAATCCACTCGCTTTATCTGTAGACAATTGCCGATGCCGAACTCTCGATTCCAAGTCTGAACACATTTTTCCCTTTTTTAGGCTATGGGCGGTTCCGAGCACGCATTCGTCACGGGAGAAACAGTGCACACAAATGGAATGGAAGGGTAAGATACTGGATAATTGCATACGTCAAACTGTAGTTACTTTTTGCAAATTTTATTCTATATTACTGTCTTCATCCTTGACCGCTATGAGCTTCCTTTTTTGCAGAGGTGGACAGCGATTAGATGAAAGAGTATGTTACTATGATATCCAAAACTCTTCATCTTTTTCATCTTTGCAACCCGTGAGACAATACGCAGAGCACGAGGTTTGTCTCTGGGCTTTCTTTCGCGAATTCGTAGGCTTGATTCTTGTCCCACCTAAAAACATGTTGACACGTGCGGGCACTTTCGATTTCTCCTGAATGTTTAATCCAGCATTGCTTGTTTACGTTATTGACAAGACCTAAACAAACTAACTTAATTGTAATCTTAACCTCTGGTTCTGTTTCCCTTTCCTTGTACATGCTACATGAACTATGCGCTCTATCTATGTTCCGATCCTTAGGTCGTCTGACTTATGAATCCTCGAATGCAGGACTTGATCACTTGTGTTTGTTTGTTTCCTCCGAATTCGAATTTATTTTTATCCGGATCACGCGACTTTACTGTCCGTGTTTGGGATCGTCGGGTTGACCGCTGTATTGGTGAGTGATTTCTGTTGACGGTTTTTTTCATCGGAGTACCTCTCAGTAACATCATTATATTGTTGCTCACTCCGACCTATGATTTAGGTGTTGTTGTATCACACTTTGTGTTTGAGTACATACTGATGTGAAGAGATCCTCATTGTGCTCCATCAGTAAAGACAATGACTAGAAACATGTGAAACTGTGAGCAGGTTTGTTTGGAACCGTGGGAAAATCTGGAAGGCTTCAAGCACATGATGCTATGATTACATGTCTTGATGCAAGTGACACGAACATGATTCTGTCAGCTGGAATGGACACGCGTATACTTCGATGGGATTTTCGAACTTTGAGTAATCAGGTTTGTTTGAGTTCAGTGCTCTTTGTCTTTCGCTGGTTTCTGTCTCAACTGTCAAACATTATGTCTAAGGGCATCCTTTTACACCTCTGCAGGGGGGATGTGGACCTGTGTCAACCCTGCAACTGGATGATAGTGCAGTGCTTAAAGTGGCGTTAGGTGGCAGCCCTAGCACAGCAGCTGTTAGCACACTCCGGGGGCTCTATCTGGTGGACTTCGCTCTTAGTCGACCCATAGCTCGGTTAGCAGATCCCTTCAAAGACAATCGCCGCATAGGAAGATACCATGACTTAAAGTGGGCTGGAAATCGAAGTATCTTGTATGCAGCTGGTGATGACATGCGCATAGACGTTTACTCGCTTCGGTAGATCATGACTGAAGGAAGTTTAAATCATATTGAGACCCAGGCCATCGCCCAGGTATGATTGTTCCAAATATAACTGCATTCTCGATCTCATCTGCAATGCTGTGTTCTCTGGTTCAAATTGTACTTCTCAGCAAGTATCGTCAAGTTTGAACGATCACAGATAATTGGAGAGGTCACAACCAGTTTGTGCAGAAGAGCGGGTCGTTTTGTCGCACTTAATAACCTGTCAGCAACTACAAACGAGGCGACTTTGGGCCAGGGTGAGAGCTTGCCGAACTGTGACAAAGCTGCGCAAGGCATATTTGAGAATCTTCTGCAGCTTTTGATGATATTATCAAGACCTGAACTGCAACGTAAGAACAGGGCAAGTGGAGGACTGCGGAACAAATGGTGATGGTTGCTGGAACATATGATTATCATCGCCTAGGATTTTTCAACTTCTGCAAAGGCCTTCATACGGTTAGAGAGTTTGTGGCACAGGCATTCTTCTACAAGTGAGTGCAGTTAGCTGCTTCTGGTGTTAGATGCTTGTAACATGACTACCAACATGTCCAATCCCTCGCATCAGCCTTTATTCACGAATCTCCTCAATATGAGCATTGACTTCCGATGTTCTTTGAGACGGGCACTGAATTGCTGTAATGAATCGTTGTATTGAATTGATTTCATATTGAGTTTTATCAACGAAATCCACCCAACAACGGAATCTTCTGGTGGATTGTGCAAGTCTACTCAGCACATCAGCTACCCCAGAGGTCCCGAACATCTGCAGATTTCAAAACTTCTGTCTCTTCATCACGTTTGATTTTAAGCTTTTCTAGATACTTGCAGAAATAGGCAGGGTTATGTCGAGTGCATGTACTTGGGGTAGTATCTCATTTTCAGTCTAACTGGTATTTCCTGCATAGAAAGCATAAGACGATGAATAATTCAGTGAGCCGTCATCTACTTTTAGAGACAAAAGGCTCTGACTTCGAAATCTTATGACCGCGAAGTGCTTTCAAATTATTTAAGATGTATCCGTTCATACAGAAGCAGTGTATGAACACTCCTTGTGAGGTTTACAGTGACTATCGTAAATGCAAAGATATAGTTCAATGTTCTCGATATGCTACGTTATATTCTTAATTAGTCGATTAGCTTTTTTGACTCATCGCTTTCAAAGTGGGTAGTACAGACTGTTGATCACACATGCACCTGTGATTTGAAATTCCATGTCAGATGTATAATTCGAAACGACGTGTCGAAATCTACAGATTTATTATGCCATAAATTATGTATCGCTTGGGTAGAAGGAACTTGCTGGAATTCATATTCATAAAATTTCCTTTGCTTTTCAATTCAAGGAGAGCAGTGGTCGTGACATGTTAATTTCAAAATGGTTCTCTGATTCTGAAAACAAAGAAGTCTTTGGATAATGTGAAATATCTACTTTACTTCTTTTGTACTCTGGCTCTCTTCCAATCTTGTTATATTTCGTGGTATTTACACGAATTTTTTTGCCATTTCTTTGCTCAGTGGCATCTACCGGCTTTTCTCACAATGCTATTCAAAATGCGTGGTGTTTAGTGTTTACTGATTTGACTTTGGTAGTCGTTGTAAGTTATTGTACATGAGATTCGTCTATTTAACCTCGCGGTATCGCTTTATACTCACAAGTCTTGCGCTTATTATCTCATAGTAGTGCTGTTGTGCTACTTCTACTAAGAAATAACTCGAGCTTATTCTGTACTTCAGGCAATTGCAGTTGAGCTCTACTTTGCAACGAAGCCCTCACAATATTGTGGAAGGTTTCCTTGCGAAGTGCATTGAGCGAACTGTGATCAAGAAGTTCATTTTCAAACTGATGAAGTCTTTTGCAGCTGCTTACTGGCTCCAGGGTGGCCATTAACACATTCAAGTTTTATAAAGCTGGAGGTCAGTATGAATCTCAGCTTCTTCTGGAGGATTTGAAGAATACTGATGGTGAAAAATATGACTTATTTCAAGATGGGTCTTGCAAAGTGAGGCGAGTAGAGGCGATTAACATTATAGGCTTATGGGACGACAAGCATGTCAGGATTTTTTAAGATCCACGTGATTCATTTATTGTTCGAAGAGGAAACGGAGATTCGTGACAAACATCCCTTTCAGTCAGAGGGATGCTCTTTGTAGATTGCGGTTTTTGTAAGAGTTTCGCCAATAAGTGGCAGAACACAACAGTATAAAAGCTGTCACTTTGATTGTTACAGGCGGATTGCAGTCTCTACCAACTCTGGAAGCTCTTTTTATGTCTGAAGTTGAGCTCCTTACTCTCATCGCCAGCTTTTTGAGCTCTACGCTGCCTATATCAGTCAAATATGTCTGACGCTTCGAAACAACAGAACTAACATTCCTTTCATAGCAAGTGCCTCACGACTAACATCATTATCATCATAACAAACGTAGCGTCCGGTTAACTTGTCTCTTAGATAATCAAAACGTGCTTTCACAATTCTAAGTTTGGGAAGCAAAGGCTTTGAGCTCTTGAAACTGTATCCACGTGATTCACATTAAGGAAGGGACTGCAATAGATTCTACTGAGACAGTATATGATGGATCCAGTTCTGTAGTTTTCATCTACCACAAATCGTTGCAGTGTATCACAACTGTCCCAAGTACTGCCACACTCCTTACGCGTCCTCTTGTAAACAGAATAGTGATTCCTTGTCGTTTCCCTTTTGCAATTCAATGGGCAAAGGCTGGAGCAGAGGAAAGATCATGAGAAGAGCTGCTTGGATTGTACCTCTAGTCCACTGTCGCCCTGCTGTATATTACGTGAGGGATACCAGACGAGTCCACCTTCGGCCGAAACAACACCTTCTTTTGGTCTATCCTAGGTATAACCACAGACTGACCAGCGTGTCCCTGTGCGTTGTGTAGAGACAGAAAATATTAAAACCGATACAAGAGACGTGTGAGTGCAGGTGAGCAATATTCTACAGTTCATTGTTAGCCAGGCCACTGGTGCAAGGCACGAAGCCATGAAAGTCATGATGCGATGAACACATTGAGCAAAACAATGGCAAAATATGTAGCCAATAAGATTGTACGGTTCTCATATCGAAGATGAGCCAAACCTTGAAAAATTTGCAAGAATTTCAATAGTTGTGATTCAAGTAAGTCTCCACAATCATTTATAAGCACAAAATGAAATAAAACAAGTATCCCACCCGTAAGTTAAGCATCCAAGTTGGTCTTGACTCGTAAAATAATCATGACAAGAATTCATGTAGAACACGATGTCAAGGATCTCAAGGTGTAAACAATTATAAGATTTATGCCCTTACTTTGTGATGGATTCCTATTCTAGGTATCATGTGATGATCACGTGCTGTTGTAATATTGTAAGAGTATTTTGTTGAGAGCTTTGATGAGCACTCTTACATCATGATGATCATTCTTACAATCAAGGTTGAACTAACTACTGTTAAATCAAAATCGAAATTAATTCATAATAAATTAAACCTCACATTACGTACATACAATTTATATGATTTTTATGTTGGTAATTTGTAAACTAACTTATACGTTTAGTTTATAGGAAGTTATTAAAAATTATTTTGAATCCAATGATGCCATAAACGTGATAAGATTATAATATGATGTCAGAGATCTATATAAGATATTTTATTATCAATTATGAACGAATTTTTTTTAATTTTTATATTATTATCGTGAATTAGAAGAAGAAAGGTAACATAATCAGCATAAGATTTTGTTCTCTCTCTCTATATATATATATATATCTATCTATCTATCTATTCATTCATTCATTCAGATTTAATATATCTTCATGAATTGGATACAATATGTTTCTTGAGGAGTTTAAGCAGATTTTCAAATTCATTTAAACATATTTTAGGCAAAGAAAACCATAGAGTTGGACTTAATCAGTGTGTGTTCAAAAGATTTTCAACAAACTTTGTTGAGCAAAGATTTTGATCTAGGTTATGAATGAATCAAATATAGTTGATGAAAACATTTACTTATTTCAAGTAGAAGGAAGATTTCTGAAAATTTTGACTAAAATATCAATTATAAATCAAATACGGTTGTAAAATCTAAATTCATCAATCATATAATTCATGAAATGATATATTTTTTGTTTCATGGTTTTTTCTCATTTAAAATGGTTGGTTATCAGATTAGTAAGATCAAACTTTTAGTACAATTACTTAGAGCTAAATCTTGAAGCTACTGGCGATTTGATTACCTCAGATGATAAATTATGGTTTTGACCGGCAATCAAAAAGAAAAATTGTTTGAAGGTAGACGTAGAGGCTACATACAAGTAAATACATGCAATATATGAACACGATTTACGAAAAGGCCACTATAAATGCCTCCAGTTACCAGATGCGAGAGGAACCAGTCAAGGTGGAAATCGATTTTCCCATTTCAAAAAAATTGATAAATCGATTTCCACTGTTGCAAATTAATATCTGAACATTGCAACGCTGGAAAGCGAATTCTTTCCACCGTTGTAATGGTGGAAATGAGTTGAAAAATTCTATGTATAATTTCTGGAATAGTCAAAGCTTCACTGACATTAGATTTTTTAATGAACTATTTAAAGCAGAAGAAGTGAAGACCGGCTTTGGCGTGAAGACCAGCGTCGAATCTACCAATCAGTCCGTTGTCGACGAGTCCGACCTCCTTCCCCTCCTTTTCTCTGCCGCATCGTCGAGCAGTACGATGAATTTACACTCTCGAGGTGTTCAAATTGCATCCGATTTAAAAGAATGTGACTCTCGTAGCAATCTTCGAAGTGCTGAGATGAGATCCAGTTCCAGGGGAAAAAAAAAATGAACTGGTTTTTGCAATTCCAAAGATTCTCGAGATCCAGCTTCTAACAAAGAGCAAAGTTGGGGGGAGCTTCTGATGCACGGGGCGTCTTCGGACAAATGGCGGCGCAGGTTTCCGAAGAGAGCAATGATCGCACCTCGGCTTCGGCGGATGGAGAAGAGAAATGGACGCACGGGACCCGAATCGACGAGGAGCTGAAGCGGGTCGCGGAGAACATGGCGTGGAAGGTGGGTGCGGGAGCAAGGGTGGCCATGCCGACGATCATGCGAGCACCTCACTGGTTTCGGAAGCACGAAGAGTTCGGCTACGAGTTCAGGTACGATCCCGTGTGCATGCGCCTGGGGCTCTACAACAGGGGCGCATTGATTGCGCCCACCGCAGCCGAGACTTGCCGAATGGAGGCCGCCATCGCCTTCGTGAACAAACTGAACGCGCGCAGAGTCGAGCTCAGACTGAGGCCGATCAGCTGGCACGAGATGTGCGCTATAGTCGTCCCGAGTCCTGCCCGAGTGCGCTCGCTGTGGAGTGACGCCCCGTCCGACATGACGGACGACGACGTGCGCCACTTGCTGGCGATCGACGCCGTGTACTTGCTCTGCTTTTTCCAGTATTTGGGGGGCAAGTTCCCGCAGGTCCAGGCCCTGGATCCGTACGAGGCTGCTATCTGGATGCTGCAAGGTATCACGCACGACTTTCTGCTGATGGAGAACCAGATTCCTCTCGTGCTGATACAGAACGCGCTCGCTCTGGCCCTGGAGGGCGAGCACAGAGAGCATGCGGAGCTCGATCGGGTCATAAACCGCAGCTCTGACGACGATTCATCGTCAGTGGACTTCGATGTCGATGAGAGGGTGGATCTCGTATGTGCAGAAGATTTGCATGAGCTTCTGTCATCAGTACAAGAAGATGTTCTGCAGGATGCTGGGCTGACTGGGTTCAGTGACAACTTCGTACCGAGATCTCAGATCGAGAGGTCTGACCACTTGTTGGATTTTGTGTACAGAGTAGTGGCCACAAAATCTAGAACACCAGACGTGGATGGTGATGACAATCCTCGGCCTGGTAGTAATAGCACCCGCTCGGTCGGTGCATTGATCAGGTGCGGAGAAAAGTCTACGTACTTCTTTCAGAAGCCGATAATTTACCTGCGCCACCTGCAATGCGTTTTACCGACGCGCTTAGTTGCTGCTTTCGGTTCGAGGTCGCAGGATTGTCAAGAAGAAGAACATCCCTGGCGCAATTTTCACTTCATTCCGACAGCCTCGAAGCTGAGAAAGGCTGGCATTGCAGTCAAAGGCTTAAGTCAAAAGCATGCGACGATTTGGGACTACAAAATGGAGCAGGGTCTATTCACGGACACTTTGTGGATCCCGAAGCTCGACATCATGGGCAACACTGCGAACTCGCTGAGGAATTTGCTCCTGATAGAAATGAGGCTCCAGTCGTTGCTAAACCGTGAGTGGCAGCCGCTGATGGAGTTTTTGCTTGTCCTAAAGCAGCTGGTGGACACGATGGAAGACGTTGTGATTTTGTGTGGCAACACAGACGACTATGTGATCTTCAACACGCTGGGCGATGCTGGCATTGTGGCGAAAATGATCAATGATCTTTGCCGAGGCTGCAGAAGAAACGAAGACTCTCCTAGATTCGTTGAGTTCTGCAAGGAAGTGCAGCAGTGTTATACACGGAGGAGGAAGCGATGGTTGTGGCAGTTTGTGGAGACATATTTGAACAAGCCCTGGAAAATAGCTTCACTTCTCGGCGCCATATTGCTGCTCGTGCTAACAGCCCTCCAGACTATATATTCCATGCTCTCCTTCTACGGCATTCAGACGCTGTCGGACTGACTCCATTCCTCAAAGCTGCTGCGCACTGAAGTCCGTCAGCTGTACATAATCTGCGAGTTTCTACCATACCTCCTGACCTAGGCCCTTAAAAATATGCCCAAAAATGTTTCATGATATATTTTTCTCAACCATATACAAAGTATATTACTTGATGGACCACACCACTTGAACAGGTTTCATTTTACCAGATGACCCACAACCCTTGCAACCCGATCAGTGATGTTCGAATACTATATGGGGATAGTTCGAGTAGAACATGAAGTCACGGCAAGATCATATCCGGAGTAATTCATACTCATGGTGTTAGTCGTTTTCTTAAACACGGTTGCTAACGAGTTGCCAGAATACTCTGGCGTACAGTGGCGGACACTCCCCACTCTATAGAGCAAATAAGTAGGTTATAAGAACATGGCTTACGATGTCCCTCGAATGGGGTACCATTTGGTAAGATAAAACCTGTTGGGTACTATCAAGACGATTGAGTTTCCTCGGGGTGCCATCAAGTAATTTCTTCACGATATACACTTTTAGTTAGAGATATTTACTTGATGGGATCCCATTGGAACCTAAACTACTTGATGGGATCCATCAAGTTTAGTTTTACCCGATGGGATCCCATCGACGATACACCGTCGCCAAGTTCTAATACATGTTACTGTAAACACATGATGGAAGTTTTACTTGAGCTCTCCCATCGCCAATCGTTTGTAAAAGTCTCGACAGGAATGGGCTAGATGAAATATGTGGTAACCCACTTTTTGTTTTTGTGCGGAAGTTAAAACATTTTTGGAAAACAGTACCGCAGCAGCAGTTGTAAATAGTAATCATTACATTTAAATAGAGTGAAAATGGATAATCGCGGGTCTCGTAGAATCTCGAAGAATCCAGGAGTTGGGCGCAATGTCCGGTACAGGCGCCCCGGCCCGAACGACCGATTCTGAAGGAAATCTCCTTTGGCGCTAGACGCCTTTGGCGCTAGGGAAATCCCTCAGAACTTATTCAATTCATAACGCCTTGGCTTGGTTAGGGTCTCGTTGAAAAGAACTCAACGCGGTCGTTCTAACGAGCCCAAGAACGCTTAGAACGGGTGAGAGATCAAGGAGTTATGATTGTCGGAAGATACTGAGAGGAAACACCTTCGGCGGAAGAGCTAGGTCGACGGACGAGCCTCCTTCGGCCCAAGAGGTCGACGCCTTCGGGGGTGAACTCCTTCGTACGAGCGCCTTCGGCGCCAGCGCATCACGATTAGGTCAACGCCTTCGGGGCAAGCAACTCCGTACGGTCCGCCTTTGGCTCAAGCGCCTTCGGCGGTACGGACAGGTTCGCCTTCGGCGGAACAGAACTCATGCGGCAAAAGCGCCTTCGGGGGGACAAGAGGGATCGACAGAAAGGACAAGAACAGTTAACTGCAGTCAACGCCTTCGGCCCAAGCGCCTTTGGCGATGCACCTACGTCGACGGACGTCTTCAAGGATATGCCTTCGGCGCTGCGAGTCAACGCCTTCGGCGGAACGCCTTTGGCGGTGCGGGAAAGGACAGAGATGAGAGTCGGCCAGAGGCGAAGGCCTCTGTCGCCGCGCCTTCGGCGCTGCGCGAACAAGGCTACGTCGACGGACGATGGGTAAAATTGAATTCAATTTTTGAGCGTGTGAGCCCGCACAACGGCGGAGCGTGAAGCCGAGCGTGCGAGAGGGGGGCCGTTACGCCTCCAAGCCGGCGCAGCAATCAAGTGGGTCGGTCCCCACGCCAAGTGTCGAAGATGAAATCTTGTGAGCCGAAGGCGGGCGACTCATTCTTGAAATTGCGATTTTGATTTCTCGTGAGAGCTGCGCGCGCACGCAATTTGGCAGAGAGAAATCAGAGGAGAAGGCGACGCGCGAAGACTTGCAAGGCAGAGAGAGAGTTGAGTGCGCGACCGCGGGAATTGAGTGAGAGTGGAGCTCACAGAGGTATCGCATCCGCGTGCAAGAAGCTTGGGAATAACAGAAGAGAGTTTGCGGACTTCGGAAGTTCGCAGTGCAATTCCAAGAACGCGATGTCGAAAGCGACACAGATGCGAATGATTCCGCTGAAGCTTCCGCAGATTGGGCTGCGCGCTTTCCAGCACAAGCTGACTGCGGTAAAGCTCGATTTCCTCCTGTGGGGGTGGAATTACGTGTGCCAGGACATGGTGCGCGAGTGGCAGAAGGAGAGAGACCAACCTACAATCGGATTTCGACCGCAAGTAGAGCGATGGGTCATCGCTGACTGGGAACTAGTGTTGGGAAGATGTGCGTGAGAGTATGGGCATCTCCTATTCGATAGCGAAAGCATCAAGGTCACGAAGGAGGAGGAGATTTCCTTTGCGGCCCTTTTCAAGACCAGCAAGTCCAGCAAGAACGGGTACAAGACCCGGGACTACAAGGATCGCTACCGCATAAATGTCGCGGTAGCACTTCTCCAGCTCTTGCAGCCGCATAGTACCACCTACATCACTTCTTGGCAGGTGGCATTCGTGGAGCTGGCGTTGATCGGAGCTTCAATTCATTGGGCTCGCATCCTGTGAAAGATAACGAGGCAGCATGCGTTTGAGGAGAAGGGAGGATCGATCAATCACCTCTCCCCCTTCTTAATCAATTTCTATCGGTCGATGGGTTGTCTAACCGCGACCGAGCGAGTTCAATTTCCATTGCTGTCACGCAGCAATCCGAGGCGGTACGTGAAGGACGTGGAGGTTGACACCGACGAGAAAGAGACTCCTGCCTCCACGCCACCAGCCCAACCGAGAGCTGGAGGAGAGTCGCTCGCAGCGCGAGTGCCGCGGAAGCGGAGATGGGAAGGAGGAGCAGAGAAGGGCCAACATCACGATTCAACTGCTCTCAAACGGAAGCGGCCACTCCACGAGCTCTGTAGTCGGCCGAAGCAGAAGGCACGCAGGCTCGTGTTGCGTGCAAGTAGCGCGGAGACGGGGCGTGTCCCAGAAGGGAAGGAATCACCATCCTCGGAAGAGGATGGAAGCGCACGGACTGCAGAGAGGTCAGCGGAACTCCCAGCGCCGAAGGCACGGACGTCTTCGGCGGAAGCAAGAAGGCCTTCGGGCCAGGAGAAACAACGCGCGGCACCGACGAACGTGCCGGCGGCGGACAGATGTTCCGCGCAAGTACCGTTCGCGAACTCACCTTCGGGGCAGGAGCCTTTGGCGCAGCGGAGAAAGGGGAAGGAGACGGAGGAAAATGCGCCTTCGGCTCAAGAGATTGTGAGTAGGGAGCCTTCGGGGCAAGCGCCTTCGGCGGAAGAACCGCCGGAAGATGCGTCTTCGGCTCAAGGGCCTTCGGCCCAAGGGACTTCGGGCGAGCCTCCTTCGGCTCAACCGCCTTCGGTGGTAGACGCCTTCGACGGAAGCGCCATGTGAGGAGCAAGACGACAGAGAGAAGGAGAAGACACGTGTGCCTTTGGCATAGCCGCCTTCGGCTCAAGTGCCTTCGGCGGTGGACGCCTTCGGCGCTGCGGCTTTGGTAACGATTGATCAGGCGGGCGGTGCGAGTTTGTCGAAGACAGGATCCCCCACCGCCTTAGACATTTTGGCAGGAAGCAGTGCGGCGGCAACAGTAGCAGAAGCAGACACTACGCAGCCCAACTCTCGGGAATCGCCAGGAAATTCCGTGGCGACTGAAATCCTCGATTCGGAGGATGACGAAGAAGAATCGGGCTCGGACGAGGAGGAGGAGCAAGCGGTGAAAGGCACGCCGACTACGGCAATGTGCAAGCAGGTGGTACCTCTGTTGAGCTATCTTGATCGCAAGGTGACGAAGTACGCATACCCCCGCCAACCTGGGTCCTATGTCGAATTGGTGCGCAGGCGAACTCGCACCAAAGTCAGAACCAGCTAGTTGTTGGCCCGCTTGGATGAGGACATCAAGGATCTGCCATTGAAGAACGAGGCCATGCGTGGCCACATCACTCTTTCGCGGAAGCTGCAGAAGGTCGTCAACCAGACGCGCGACGAGAAGTTCGAGTAGGCGAAGAAGTAGTTCGCCAAGGAGCAGACGAGGCTCACGGATGAGCTAGATTCTGAGCAGACTCAGAATCGAATTTTGTCAGAGGAGCTCGTGCGGCAGACACGGTTGCTAGAACAGTGTCAGCTCGCACGCCAGGCGGATGAAGACTTAATCCGCAAACTGCAATCAGAGTGCGGTGAATTGAGAGCGCAGCGTGCGGAGGCAGAGTTGCAATTGGTGGTGGTTGAAGACGATCGCCGGCGGGAGGCAGATTGCACGAAAGAAGAGTTGGTGAAGCGAGTGAACCACTGTCTCAGAGGTAACACCCTCTAGGAGAAACTCACATTGCGCGAGTTAGAGCTTCGTGCGGTGGGATTGATGTCGGGTGACAGTCGGAGCCGGCGGCGAGTGGCAAAGAAGTTAGATTCGTATCTGTCAAGGTCGCGGAACGCCATGGCAAACCTCGAGGCGGAGGTGACTGCGGTGTTGCGGCGGCTAGGATTGCGCAGTCGAGCTGAAGACTGGTCGGGTAGGGAGTTAGCGCGCGATAGTCCGTTGCGCAGGAGGCACAGTAGATGATCTGCAGTGTGCTGCAGCGTAGTGTAGTGCAAGTAGTGTAGTGTTAATTAGGACTTAGAAGGTATAAAGTAGTTCAAGGCGTCTTGCCTTGAGATTTTTCCAGTTTCGGAAGTGCAGATCAGGAATTCATTTTCTCTGCGTGTTTGTGCACTTAGTTCTGTCACCGCGCAAGAGGAGCTACAGCTTGACGAAGATACCGCATTTTGTAGCTGAAGGCCTTCGGCTGAATGTTCAGAGCCAATGTACTGGTTAGATACTTGAGCAGTTTGGATCTACACCTGCGGGTGATTGCTAAATGCTCGGAGCTAGTAATTGGTTAGATACTTGAGCAGTTCGTCCTTACACCTTCGAGTGATTGTTCCTGTTTGTACTCCTTCGGGATGTTTTCCCTGAATGCCAAAGTGAAGTTTTGTTACTTCGAGTAAGCCTTGGTTGTAAATTCAGG